ATAATCATTTTCATTTCATAAATGTATATGAATATTCTATTTGTATGTAATATATAAATATATATATATAATATGTTCATAATATATACACATACCTATTATTTAATTTCACTTTTAATCGTAAATTATAAAATATTTATTTAATTCAACTTCATTTTTTGTTTATATATATATATAAAATAAATAATAAAATAATAAATTAATATTTATTAAAATATTAAAATTTAAATGTGTTACATTTAATTAAGACGTCTTTTCAATAATTATTTTAAGTTTTTATTTAAATAACCTTAAAGAGATTTCTTGAGATATCTAACAGTAGATGGCGCTCAAGATATGTTGTGTTCAAAATATAAATTTTATAATTTTTTCTATGAATAATTAAATAATATTTTTTAAAGTGTTATATTTTATTTAATTTCGATAATTTACATATATAACTTTCTATTTTTTCTTTCTTCTCAATTTACAATCAATTTTTCAATTTTTTCGTTTTAAATTAATAAATTATTAAAAGTATAAATGCTATAAATAATGTAATCTACTTATGCTATTTACGTAATTTAAAAATAGATTAACAAATATTTCAATTTTTTGTATATATTTTTATAATATTATAAATTAGAAACAATTGTTTTCTCCAACTTGTGTTTATCTAATGATCATATTTGATTATAATAAATAAAATATAAATTTCATTTAAAAATTATATGAATTCATTGACATTAAATACGAATAATTAGTAAATGAAATGAAAAGTATAATAAATTAAAATAAATAAAATATAAAATATAGTGTTTAAAATATATTTCTACAATTTAGATTTTAGTAGCATGGTTAAACCTATAATCATTTATAATAGGATTAGTATATATGTAAGGTTTCATGAAATGTATAATTTGTGTATTCTATTTTCTTAAACTGGAGGATAAAATAGTTGTTATACATATCAAGGCCAATGTTATTTTCTGGTTTATTTCAGCATTGTTCATCATTATTAACATAATTTATTTTACATTTTTGGCATAATTTAGGTTTAGGTGAATCTTCATCATGGGAAACTGTTACTATTAAATATAAAAATAAATCTATGATAAGTACAAATATTGTATAATTTTATCATATTTCTATTACCTGTATTTGTATCATTTTTATGAAGTTTTTCTCCAATTGATTTAAATAATATTACAATTTTATCATCATTATCTGTATTGTTATAATATTTCTTAATCCTTTCAAAACCATCACAGAGAGCCATTAAACGTCTGTAATAATTAAATTATTTATAATTTATAGAATTCTTTTCTAATCTTTTGAAAATAAATCATAAATTCTTATTTATGCCATACATGTTTATTACTTTTGGTAATTCCAAGTCTAATACACATCTACTTTGCTGATAATTATTTAAAATATCATCATATTGTTGATGTAATTTTTCTAATTCTGATATAGATAATGTGAAATTAGTAAGAAAATTTTTGAAGTTTTTTGTTGCTGTATAAAAGTCTTTTTTTTTTATATAATGATTATTCATCAATTCATTAAAATGTTTTGGAAGTGTTATGAATTTCGAACAATGTTCTATCAAATCTTGTAAGATAATTAGTTTATTTTCTTTTTGCTCTTCCAACTATTACATATACATATATATTAATATTTAATAAATTATGTATATTAAATTGTATAAATAATCAATTAAAATATATTTAAAAATATATTGTGGTAATTATTTTTATGTACAAATTATGATTACAATTTTCAATCTTATATTTTATATGTATGTGATAACTAAAATCATTATACCTGTTGAAGATGCATTGTTAAATGTAAAGAATCAGATTTGGAATTTACAGAATATGATTGAGGAAGTGTCAATAAATGACTAATATTGAGCACTCTACATGCAGCTAATTGAGATACTTGCAAAGATTGTCCATATTGTGCAAGAGCTTCAAGAGCAGTAATACTTAAATTCAGATGTTGTAATAAAGCTGCTTGTCTATCTTCTGCTAAAGATTCTTCTATTTGAGTTCCTGTCAAATGTAATTCTAAATTTTCTCTTATTTTCTCAGATTCTTGACATTTCAAACATTTCAGTTTCTATAAGTAATAGATACAAATATGTGTTATAAGCTTTTTTATTCTAACTTATATACATAATATATGTAAAATATTGCCTTAACACTTTGTGAGTCATAAGATTTCATTTTTTCGTCACAATGTTTACGACATAAACAATAATTTGATGAAGTTTTTCTATAGGATACACATTTTTGTGTTGTTGAAAATAATTGTGATGACAATTCTGATGGATATAGAGAAGGTACTATTTCTTCTTCCAACATTGGTGTGCAATAAAAGCAAGAATTATATAAATTGGGGTCACTCCATCGTTTATATTTCTCTTCATGAAATCTTGACATTTTCTAATTTTTTAAAATAAATTTCTATACTAATTATATCTTTAATATTAATTTTTATCATTTAAATATAAGAATTTACTTGCATAATGAAATTATTTATTAATGAAATATATTATTATATTATTTTAATACGCTTCGAAAACTGAAATTTTTCATAATTGAAATTTCTTCATTCTTATTATCTTACAGAAAGTAATACTTGATAGGTTGATGTAAGGAAGGAATTTTCAGGTTGAATATTAAATAGAACACATATTTGAATCATAAACACTTATGTTACAAACCAGTAATTGTTTATTATAATCGTCTTCAATTGAAAAGAACAATTAAAGCGATAAATATATATACGCATTATAGTTTATATTAAGGTTATAAAGATATGACTAATTGTTTCGATAAAATAAACAACAAGACATAAAAATGACAAATGATATAACAATTGATTGTTCCACTGCTACACTAAATTTTAGACCTCAGTATTATTATTACTTGAGTGAATTAAAAATTTTAATATTAACAGACGTTGTCATGTTATATTAATAAATAAATAAATACAACATAAAGAAGATAAGTAGACGCAGTTATTATGTTTTAAATATAATTTGTTGTTTAATTATTTATTTTTTAAAAGTTAAATCGATTTTATATAAATATATTAAAATGGTATATTAAGTATAATTTTTTATGATATGATTCTTTAATTATAATTTATACTAGATTATATAGAATATTATTATCAAATTTGTGATGTACATTATTTTTATTAAAAATAAGAAGAGAGATATATTACTTATCTTCTTTAAGTTAATTAAATGCATTTGCTTAGTTTTCCAATAAATTGAATAATTTATTATATTAATAATATATTGATAAATCTACTGCCAAATAATTAATACTATTTATATTATTGCTAAAAATGTATATAGTTTTAAATATTTTTGTAAAGATTTCTGTTTTTAATGTTTATAACTTTTTAAAATAATATCAAAATTTTAGTTCATTTTTTGACTATTACTTGTATAAGTGACATCACATTCTTGATATATAGAATACTATATCAATTTGGCACATAATATATATGTTAAAGATATTTGTTTTTTAATTGTTGCACATTATACATAAAAATGAAATAAGATAATTTAAAATAAACACTTTTCATACTTCACTTTTAAGTTATGTAAGTATTAATTATAGTATAATATAAAAAATACACATATCAAACCCAATTATAAATTAAATTATGTTTAAATTTTATATTACTCATTGAAATAAAATTTTGTTAACAATTATTCATTTATTAATAATTGAATGGAATGTATTTATATATTTATTCAAATTATATAATAAATTAACTGTAAAACCGTAAAAATGTTAAAGTGAAGCATGATGTGTTGTATTATAAAATTATTATTTTTTTGTATATTAAATTTATTATATATATATTTTTGATATGAATTGAAAATTCATGGAACTTTTGCACGAATTACTAGACTCTAATTACGATTAAAAACAGAATACACTGATGACTATTATTATTATTAAAATTTTTTTTGTTTTTCATATATTTTTCTGTTGGTCCACTTCATAGAATATAAATATTAGTTCATATATCAAACATATATTAGTCTGTTCATTATCATAATTACATAACTGTAACATATAATCAATATATTTTTTTAACATGCACTTGCAATGTTTCACACTTTAATTAACCTACAATTTCGATTTGTACATGGGGTTAATAATTAGTGTGACAATGGATCAATCGTTCAACCATAAAACTTTTCATTTATAAACAATCCAACTTTCTTGTGTTTTGTATATCTTAGATCATTACAATAAAATAAAAGGACACACAACTTAATGGAAGCTGAAATCAGTAGTCTTCTTGTACTATTTTATAATCGTCTATTATCATAATACTAATTTTTACGTAAAATTTGATGTCAAATTTTCTTAATAAATCTATTTAACGAGTATTAATTAACACTACAAATTGTTTATCTTGATTGATATTAATTCTATTCTTGTTATAATAAAGGCAGTAATAATTTAATTAATCATCACCATCCTCCTATTTTCTACACGTATACTGGAAAAATATCATTGAATTAGTCACTGAATAAATATAATGTATACATATTATTAAAAAATATAAATAAAATTTTAGAAACACAAATCTTCAAATATGTATATATTTGAATATATTAGTTGAATATATAATACTCCTATCAATAGAATTATATAGAAAATTCTGTTGTTCGCTCTCATTATTTAAATATTTTAACATATTGCATTTAACAATGTATCAAACTAGGGATGTATTAATTGTATACTTCATTATACACATATTATCGAAAGTTTTTAAAAATTTGGCATTTGTCATTTATGTTAACATTTAAATTTATGTTTCGTCCTAACTTTTTCAATAAACAAAATTTTAATGTATGAATGCAAATAGATAAATTTTTAAGATTTGATGATTCTCTGTCAAAAGAGAACATTATAATGTCTTAAACATTACATTGATTCTTACTAATAATTTCAGTAGCCACAAAGTTATTTCATAAAATATTCTTAAAATGTATAATTCTATGTACAATTTCATAAAATAATATTAATTTAATATATAAGGTTTATATTATAGTACTGCATGATGTATTACAATATATTATTTAATTACTTAAATATTTCATTTGATTATTAATGATGTGTATTCGTACATTGGATACAGGGAGAATAATCCCATATTATAAACAATGAATGTTGGCACAGACAGTGGCTGGGTTAAGGCACTTTGGGGTGTTTAATTTTCCACAGTACCTCCAGCATAACTATCTTATCACACCCCTTTCTCCTTCCCATTGCCCCTCATTGTTATTAATATTAATTATTACTTTTTTTATATATATATAATATCTCAGATGACTGTGTGATTCTCACTTTTAATCTTGTAACTATTCTTAAAATAGAATACGCCGTTTTAGTGAGCATTGGAGTGTAATAGACGAATTTAATAAAGCTTTCACAGTGGTTTCGTGAAATTCGCTGGAAACATACCCTTTTCATTCGTACCTTCTTTGATGCCCATTAACCAACCTTGTTCCTGGAGTAATAAAATGTTTTGTTATATTTATTATTATTTTAATTATAATATATTATTATACTTTATTATATATTTAATAGTATTATTATTTCTATTATAAGCATTATATAAAAAATTATATATATATTTTATATTATATATATATATAATATATTTCAGGATAGAGATATATAAAATGACAAAATATAAATTTTAAAATAGATTATTAAGAAAATATAAACCTGTTCTTCAGGATCATCATATTCTACCACACGAATAATATCACCGACATCAAATGACAATTCGTCCACATCTTCGCGTCTATATTTGTAAGTAGCCTTGACTCTGTATAAAACCCCAGGTGGCAAGTTGTCAGTCGTTGCCCCTAGAGAGAAATTGGTACCATTTTCATATTCCACCTCTAAAATAATTGAATCCGCCTCATTAGTCATGGACCTGTGATATAGTTCTATTTAAATTCTAACTTTCATTGATCAAATCAACATACAATTATTACAATTTTTATGTAAAAATTTTTATGCATAACTGAAAGTCAGAATTAAACAAATAGTGTTTCATTATTTCAACAAGACCATGCATAAATGGGCAGGCAGCATACTTTTATATGGACACAATATAAATTTTACATATACATTTCTCACATATTATATATTATATATTTTGGAAAATTATTTTATTTTAAATCTTGAATGAATTTTAATTCTTGTTTTCAAAATACTAAAACTAATAATTTATATTTACATTCTGATAGATATATGTGCTTACATGTGCTTACATATGCTTGCTAAATGTATCAATGCAATAAAATATACTATACTTACGAAAGAATAGTTGCGCAATAAATTATTTAAGCAAATGAAATTCATTCAATAATATATACTAGTACTTTCTTACATCATTATAAATTTAAATCATAATATAATTTTTTATCAAACATATAAAACTGTCCAAATTCTAGATAATCAGAATCAAAATTATTTTATTAACATATTAAAAAAATATTTTTTATGTAGTTACTTTTATACAAAAATTCTTAATATATTAATGTTCATCTTTAAAAACGAGCGTCGCGTAACAAATGACATTTACTCCCACGTTACATACTTACCAACAGGAATATCATACAACTCTTCTACTCGCTTAGAGGCCGTAACTGTGTTTTGCGGAGATGCATCCTGATTATTGAGAGAATTATCATTGCTGTTAGCATTGCTGTTAGCATTGCCATTTAATTGAGTAGTCGGTGATGTGTTTCTTGCTGCTGGAGCAGAATCATCCACGGCTGTAACATGCAATAAAGCTCACTCAAAACTAAACATTTAGCCACATAATTATGTCTGCAGGAACGTCTTATGTGGCATTACATTACAACTACATTACACTCATGCACAAAATATTAGTACACAAAAAATTCAAATGCACAAAAGACGCATATATAGATAACAGGTATATATTTACCTGGTGAAATGTTATTCTGAGCTGGTTGCGTGTTGATTATTAAACTAAAACATAAAATATTTAGTATAATATATCATAATGATATTGAATAATAATTATATGTATACAAATTATTATTTTATTTTTTATATATAAATTAAATTTTATAAGTTAAACTTTCTATTCAATTATTCTACTTACGCAGAATTAGCATTAGGTGATTTTGGAGACTGAGGTTCTGTATTTTTCTTCAGTGTATACGATCCTCTCTGGCTTTCGTTAGCAAGTTTATCGACGATTGCTTCTAATTCAGAATATACCTAAGATATAAAAAGCATAAAATAATATTGAACAAAGATGAATAATTTACAACTTAAAATACAATATTATATTTTACAGAATATAAAAATATTATAAAAAAGATGTATAGTTATTAGATATATATACCTTAGCACTTTCAGTGTGAAATACTTGTTCAGCAGCAAACAATGTTTGCAAATTAGTAACAAGAAAAAGAACACGTGAATCATATAAGGCAGGTAGTTCATCATGAAGTTCGGAATTGAGTTGTTCATATGTACGCTTAGCTTCTTCCAATAATTCCTTTCCTCGAGAAACTTTGAGTTCATCCCGTTTCCTTGGATTACACTGTAGTGATTGGAAATTATGTCTCTGACTGTCATAATCAACCAATTTCCGCCCACGTTTGTCAATTTTTTTCTGCAATAAATATAATAATTCCCATTTTATAATTCATATTAATTTTGGATTCAATATTAATTTAAGATTTTATCAAAATAATATTAACTCTATTAAATATGTAAAGAGTTAAAAGATTTATATTATACACAATTTTTGGGGGATAATTTAGAGTTAGAGTGGAAGGTATACCCTCATTTCTGGAAATTGGCTCTGATATGTGTTGAGAGGCACGAGAACTTGATCCGCAAGTTTATGAGTGAAATCTTGCCACAACATATCGAGATTTTGAGCTTGCACGTATAAAAGATCATGGCCAGTCCATTGACTTTCGTAGATCTCGTTCAAAGAATCCATGAGAGTTTTAGACGCTGCTTGCACCGCTGTTAACATAATTAATAAATTTATAAATATTATTACACAATATTTCTACAATAATATTAATTTTGATTAGGGATGAAGCCCTATTCTCAATTTCAGATTCAAATTTCTGAAACTTGTATCTTAAAGTTTAATAAGGTTTTGAAACTTTTCGAAACTTTTAAAATTCGAAAATATAGAATTCTTTTTTTTTTCTTTTTGCTTTTTTTTTCTGAGAAATGCTATTTTGTCAAGAATTAAAATTTTGGTAAATTTCTGAAAGTTTTTAAACTCAAATTTGTAATTAGTACAACAGTAACGATAATTTAAACACAATTTAAACACAAACTATTATTAATTACATAAAAATAATTATTCTTTCCATAATTTGCACAGTTATAATTCTTTTGGACTTCGAATCGTCAACTCTTTGAATTTCAAAAGATTTCGAGGTCACTAAAAAAAAAAAAAAATATTCAAAAAGTTTAAAAAATATTAAGTTTCCGGAATAGGATCAAAAATTAACGTTTCAGAACTTGAAATAAAATCGTAACTAACTCGTGTGTCGAAGTAACTTCAAGGCTACGTAGCGCGTAATCGTTAAATTCCTTTTTCATTTAAGACGTCAACGTTGCGTCGGAAATAAGGAATTGTTGAGAAGTTGTAATTAAACGTGTAGGCGTGATCAAACCACACAGCTGAAAATTTTTTTATACCGATTTCTTATTCTCCAGGAAACACGATTTTGTTTCCCTAACAAATGTATGATTAAAGTTAACTGCTTTATCAATCTATTTTTGCCCACAAGTGCATTCACTTATTAAGGTATGACAATTTTATGAGTATACTATGTATCTATGGATTCAAATCGTGGAAACTGAGAGCATGTGATTTATTTGCGAAAAACACCTATTCTCGTTAATGAAAAAAATATCCTTTTGGTATTGTTGAATGCGTTGAAACGATTAAAATGATTAAAGTGTTCGAAGGATTTTATTTTCATTGGAGCTTCAATTGGAAAAGGTATGAATGAATATAATGGATGGATAGATGTTAAAAAAAATATTAGATTCATTCAATGGCAACAAATGATGATTGAAAATTTAAACAAAATAATAAATATCAGTAAAAATATAAAGAATTGAGAAAAATTATATGAATTGGTTTTTTTTTTTAATTCTAAATGTTTCTTCAATTGCTAATGCAAATTCTAATTGATATTGTAATATTACAAACAATATGACAAGTGTATTGGTAAAAGTTTCAATGGTTAATCAATTGATATAGTCTTTTCGATGATTTTTTTTTTTATTATTATGATAGAATTTTATTATTTTGTCCAGATATATGGTTTTTTAAAATTGGCAACAAAGTATTAAGCTTTTCTTTTGTTCAAACTATAATATCCCGTGTTCAAATAATTAATTCTGATAAAATATCTGCAAATATTTGATTCAATTATGTTTTATAATAAATCGTACAGTTTATAAAGTAAATTGGAATATTTTAACGAATCTTTCATATTCATTTCACATAATTCCATAATGCAATTATTTATAAAAAAATTCCAATCTTTAAAACTTTGAAAAAGCTCTGAATTTTGAATAAAAATCGAGTACTCTTCATAGTAAGGAAATTCAATGTATATCATAACATGGAACAATGGAACAAGATCGTCAAGAACAATGACGATTATACGGTTAATTAAACAAAAGTTATATTTGAATATTTCGAAAAAATCAAATATTTTTTATAATAAAATTTATATTACAACAATAAGAAAAGATCATATAAATGCAAAACTTTTTGCTACTATTATTAATTGAACTACCCAAGTTTTTCTAGACATCTAATAAATGTTTTCCCAACATCTTTCTCTCTGATGCATAAGAAGTAAATACATCAGAAATTGTACATAGTTCTGCTTTAGAAATGTTGAGAGAAATGTTACGGTGTCTCGAGTTTCAAGGGAAATCGGGAAAATTCTCGAGGAAAAAAAAATCAATTCGCCAGTAGAACGTGGCGAATTCTTGTGAACAACGCGATTTTGAGGAAAAAGCAGAAAGAACTCGCGGACGTGCGTATCTATCGACAGGTTATGGCCAAGCATTGGTACAGCGCATGCGGGTATTTATGTGCGAATGCTGTTATGTGCCGTCTCGACTGATAAAAGGAAAGGTAAAAGGCATCGGCGTAGAAACGGATTTCCGTGAAAACTTACGAACGCGGCACGATTCTTGAAAACTGGTCGTTTCCTTATTGCAAATCCTGTCAGTGTAATGAAATCTTTCCTTTCTTTTTTTTTTCTTCTCTTTTCTTTTCTTTCTTTTCACGAAACTCTTTTCTTTACGATTTTTCTTCAGGCACAATACGTTAATAGTACAGTTTACAAGGAAAATCTATAAATCAATCGACAACTTCAACAGGATATGTTTATCGCTTATGAACGATGTAGACAAATTTTACGATCATAATAGTTGAGGAATTGAGGGCTTTGCGGTAACAATTAGAAAATTATTGCATTTGTAATTTCTATAATTAATGTTTTGATTTAGTATTGTTAAAAAGTTTTTAATAGATACTTAATTACATAATATATACAAAAATTTGGTACATATTTTGTAATCTTAATAATTTTTAATGCGCTGATCGATGCAGCTCATTATTTTTTCTACAAAAAGTATTTTATTATAAATTGTTTATATCAAAAATTTGTTTTATAAGAAGATATTTAAATTGATTGTTATTGCTTGTAAAAATATTATTGCATGAAAGATAAAGAAAGCATAAATATATCACTTTTGTTTTTAATACGATAAGTTTTATAAACTTCGAATAAAAATATAAAAATATATTTTTTAAATTAATGATTTTTTAGATAAATAGTTTAGTTATTTAAAAAATTTTTTGTAGGAATAAATTATTGCTCTATCTCTATTTGTAATTATAATGAAAAAACAATAATACTTCGATTTAATTTATGATAATATATAAATTATAATAATAAAATGGACAAATTTAATCATGAGCTCATTTGAATTTTCGTTAAATGAAAGAGACAGATATAATACGACACATGTACAGACATGAGACAGTTTTATTCGCATCATACCATTACACTTTTTTTCATGTAACGAAAATCTTAAATTTCTTGTAACTTAATATCACATAAATCTTAAGTGATATTTTTATATACCAACTTTTGTTTCAGTTTCTAGAATTAATCCTCCAAATATATCCTTCTATATATTAAAAAATATGGAAAAATACGATGTTATTATTTTCTTAATATCTCAATACTTAATTTTCCTTTACCGATCGTAAAGTAATATAAAATTATGAAAATAAGAAAAATTACTATTCACCGCGAACTACGCCATTGATACAGGCGAACAAGAGGTTCAAAGTGCTCGATGTTGTAAGTACGTACACATCCTGATATGTAAATTTTTTTTGTCCAACTGTGATTTATCTGAATACATTTGCTTCTTTAATGCAAATATTGCTTACACGCATTTGTGCATTTTGAAACTAGCGAAAAGATTGGAAGATCGGTATTGTGCTCATCGATATTCTCACAAGTTGCTTAAATTTTACATGAAATTATCCTCGATATTATTATTTGCCCTATTTTTATCTCCTCGGATCGAAAGCAAGTAAGACATTTTATATTTCTGTTCTCTCGTTTTGTTAATGCTCGTAATTTATAATAACCGTTTCTCTCGAAACAGCGCTATTAAAATGTCAGATATGTTTCCCTCAACGATTGACGTTTCTACGAGTGTGCCGCGTAGGGCCTGCGCAGAGACCACGGTCGTTATTCAATGTCTACTACGTTATTCATCCAACTGTCATTCATCCACGAAACGTATGCAACTTGTTGACGAAATGGAGTAGCGCACTCGCCATAACTTTTTCTTTTTCCAACGGTATTGTAAACGGAGTTGTAAATTTAATCTCGCCGATTACCATGGCCAGAAAACTATGCGTGATTTGTCCCATACGTAACTCAAAATGGTCGATTTTATGAGGCTTTGATCCGAGGCAATGGAATGCAATAGAAATGCTTTTTGAGAAATTGTGACGATCTTTGGTCGCCATTTTTTCGATTTTAATCTTTCATATCAATTTTTTTGTTTTCTAGAGAGAAATAGCATTGTGATGAAAGAAGATGTTATATTTGATCGGCAGAAGATATTAGAAGAACAAGTATTTTTTGTGAATTTATAATAACAAATATTAACAATCTATATTTATCTTTGTGTCCATGTATGTTGTCGTTAAAGTTATTAATTATATAACCAAGATTTTTTTATTATTTATTGATGAAGAAAAAAGTTTAAATTATTTTCCCTTTTTCTTTTTTTGTGTATTTTTTTTCTTAATATCAGACTAATTTAATAGAATATTTATACTATACAGAATTTCAAATATACAAATTTCAAAAACTGTGATCATTTTTGATAAGGACAAAGTTGCTGATAATAATTAACAATATATTTCGAATTAATTGAAATTAATCGAACGAGAAATTCGATTTTTCAATAAATCTTACTTTTAATAAAGGTGTATTAGTAAATATTAGGTCGAATAATATCGTTCATTCTCTATTTCTTTGATTTCTTAATATACACCAAGATATAACGATTCAAGTTCTTTGATAAGAGCTCTTTAAAAACCTTTTGACCCAACTTTTTTCCATTCCGTTTTTATTCTTCTTTTTTATTGAAATTTATAGTACTATACTAACTCTGATGACGTATATGCATAAGAAAGTTTAGAAATCCTTGAAACTTCAGATATATCTTCACTTCTCAAGTGGTAATATACTATTTAAAAATACTTAATTTTAAATTAATTTAATGAAATTTTTTTCTACATTCTTTTTAAAACTACGATTTGACCTAATTGCAGGAAACAAATAATAATAAACATGTATAAATACAAATCTCGTTACGTTTTTAAAAAGAATGATAGAATGATAAAATTTTTTCTAACTTATTATTAATTTTAATCTAATATTATTATTAGATTGAAATTTTATACAAATATATAATTAATATATGTCATATCATTTAAGATAAATATATGTTGAATAATAAAATTTATACATATTATTATATATATTTTTACAAAATATTAATTAATCTTATTGTTTACATTTATCCATTATAATTATAATTTCCATTTCAATATACAATAATATTTCTTTAAAAAAATTCTTTAAATTAAAGATATATTAATATCATTTGTTCAAAAGAATTAATTTAAAAACTGAATTTAATTGAATTATCATGATATCACATGATAACTTTTTTATTTAGAATATCATTTTTTATAATATGTTTTTAATTATAATGTGAACAGAATTAAATACGAGAAAAAAAAAAAAGCATATTCATTTGTATTATTTATGGAAGATATGCAAAACACATGAAAATATAAAAAATATGTTTTTGCATAAATATCACGTATATTAATGTAAATTTATATCATAATGAATACGATAAAACATAAATTAAATAATTAAATAAACATAATTAATATTTTTACAGTTTTCTATATACATTTTATGTTTCTTGCAAATACATAATTCACAATGTGATGATAAAATTTTATAATAGTTTTACTTTAGACTTTTATTGAAGATGCATCAAAAAAGTGATGCAATATCATTATCGAATGCGAATTTATTCATATTCGAACGAGAACTTTTCGTGTCGATGTAGGATTCCAATATTTATAATAGTTTGAATAATTTGTAATTAAAAAAAATATATATATATACATATCAATGCATATATCAAGCTTATCAGATTATCAGCGAATATTTTGATAAACATAAGATATAAAATAAGATTCTTATTTAATCTTGAAAAATGTCTTAAGTTTGACATAATCATGACATACGATAATTCATCAATTTATTATGAAATTTACATTTCTTGCATGAATAAATTTATAGTATTAGGTATTATTATTATACATCTTTTATAGTATTAATTTGATCATTTTTTTTTTATAAATATTAAATATGCGTAATAATTTAAATTCAATGAATTTAATAATATACAAAAAATATATAGAAAAATTTAAGAAAACAAGGTATATGATTAATAAAATAAAAATGTACAATGTACATGCAAATTTTTCATGTGTTAGAAATTTAATCTCGTATATACATATTTAGAAAATTATAAAGCACGAATATTCAATGAATAGGTATTTGAGCAAATCGATCAATTGGGATTAAATGCAACGGATCACGGAAAATCAAAGTTTATTTCTCTTGCTCATCTGTTAAATATTTAACTTATCGTAAACATTCATTTTTATTACTAGATTCAGTATAAGCGTGGTTGCTAATATTGGCAAAATTTCATGCATGAATAAATAAACTGTTTAGAGAGAGAGAGAGAGAGAGAGAGAGAGAGAGAGAGAGAGAGAGAGAGAGAGAGAGAGAGAGAGAGAGAGAGAGTAGAGTAG